GTATTTTATATRGTGAATCACGTAGAAATTGAATAAAATTATTGATGCCCTATTTCATTATTACATTTTTTAATGGATTTAGTAATATTACTGAAGTTTTTACATTTATATTTTTTATTATAAGTACCTATATACGTGTTGTAATGTTAGTATTGTTTGTCCATATTCGTTGGATTTATGTTTTCATTGATAGTATTATTTCGATCCAATTCGAATTCATAATATTGCCTTTAACYACATTCGCCTGTTAAAGATTAAATAGAAATGATTTCTTTTGAATATATACGACGAATTATAATTATAATGCATATAATACTAAGTCGAGTAAGACATTAATTCAACACAGTCAATCATACGTAGATAATATACCTATGTTCGGAATAATAAATTTGTCCAAAAGCGAAAAAAAAATTTTAAACTTTGACAGTAAGCACGTACAAAAAAGCTACAWGAGAGTGGAGGAAACTGCTACTTGAAACCAAAGAATTGCTTACGGTCTGCTTTACACGCGAGTGATTCATTTGAAACGTTATTTTTACGCCCTCATTGCCGCAGTCAAAGCGTTATAAATTTCAACAAAACCGCTTGTGGATAAAATAATAATAATAATAATAATAATGATTATAATAATAATAATAATAATAATAATAATAATAATAAATAATAATCAAGTGTTCACGGTATCGTATTTTTTGGATATCGTAATAATGGCTGATACGGCGGCGCGTGTGAACATAAACCATGATATATATTGATGTATTATACCCACATATTTGTCCCTGAGTACATATTTTCTTCGTTGAAATTACATCGGAAATGGAACGATCATCTTTTATTTTGCATAATATATGCTTTTTCAGCTCCCAGACTAAAAGTGGGATTATTAAGTGTTGGTAATAACTTACTAATGATTAATACGAAGTAAACGAAATTCTGTGCACTAGAACTTCACATAATATCAATCATAAATTACACAGTATWATGTTGGTGTAAAATACAACTTCAAGCATAAAAATTATTAACCAGGTACGAATTAATTATAATTGTAGTAGGTTATTAAACTGGAATAACAAATAATAATTGTTGTCAAATTTGGTGAGTCGTATAATAATAATTTTAATTCATGTTCGATTATAAATATTATGGATCATACATAGCGAACATTATAAAAAATAATTAATTATCATGAATAGCTAGCAGTATTTAAAATTTAAATAATCAAATAAAATTAATTAAGTAATATTGATTTTAATAATTCGAAAGAATTAAATTTTTAAACAACAAAAATGCAACGTTGATGTATTTCAAATAAAAAATGTTCTTCATATTTTGAATAATAAAAATATAACGTAAATAAAAACCAAGCAAAACCAATTAAAACACTACAGTCATAATAAATACTAATAATAATGATTAAAATGAAAAATATATTTATATAAATATATTATTTATTATAAATGTAAATTGTATATAACTAAAATATTAATATTAATTTTGTATTTTTTTACCATASATATAAGTTKTAATCACATGTAATTATTTAATGTAGCCAATGGCCCCAGTCACCGAGGCAGTTATTTATCAGCAACAAAAAATATAAAATAATTAAAATGKCCAAATTTCGGTGAAATTAAGTTTTTTTCGATACTTTTACACAATTCATCCCAACTAGGAAACTTTTCTTGTGGCATGGAAAAATCCAATTTTTGTTTTATATATTATACTCATGACTGAAAGAAAGATTAAAGAAGTCAAGGTTAAGACAGGGGTTTTCGAATATAATTCAAAGAAAATCTCTTCTCCGAAGAAACTGAGAAGAAATATACTTTTCAGCTTATAAATTAACTAATATCTATGTATAGAGAAAATATATTTCCGTCAAATTTTCCATTACACAATATTATGTAATAAATTTAACAAATATTGGAAAAAGCCAATATGGCAACACATTACACAGAATCTCGATTGAAGAGCATATTTTGAAGGTATGATCGTATATTTATTTCAAACGTAGAGGAATTTTTAACATTCCGTTTCTGGTTATTATGTTCAACAAGAGGCATGAAGATAAATCATTCGTTATGGAATGCAAGAAAATAGTGAAAATTACTATGGAATATAATATGTGAATATTAATGTAGAAAAGGAAAAATATAAATATCATGAAATATTCTCGTTAAATTGTCATTTGTGTTTCAAGCATTCAGTAATTTATATTCCCATTGGACATTCGAATCCAAAATGAATCTATCATTTTTCAATTCAACCCTCCACWCTCAGAATAAATAAATATYTCCCAACCTGCATAATGCATTAGAATTAATATTTATTGTTTATTATTTGCTTTGAATTTTTTACTATCCAATATTGAATGGGAATTGATTTGTATTAGTATTTATGGAAATTCTAGTTAGAAAAAGAGATCATATTTTGTTTTGTCGTTATTTTTTCATCTTGGATAATGATAATTATAACTAAACAGTTACAAATATATACATACGGTACACATGTATTACCTAAMAATTACAATTCACAGTGAAAGACTCGAAATAGAAATGGACATACTAGTTAAAGTCCATAGAATATTTTATTCTTCATAATGTTACGGTCAGAAAAAATACTTATTTATTTATGCATAATATAGGTTAGCTTAGGATACATACGAACCATTTATTCATTGCATGAATAGAATTTATTCACAAAACTTAAGAAAATCAATTTACTTGATAACTTCTATGCAATTTTAAAACCCTAAGTCATTTTACATTTATATACGTCGAKAACACAGAACAGAACAAATCAAAATCGTAAATATAAGCAAATAAATTGTTTAATTGTATCTAGTCAGTGTAAAAATAATTAATGGTAGGTATACTTATGTAAATAACTACAGCTAATGTATTAGAACAACTGATCACTGACACACTTCTTAACTGATTTATATTTTAAATACTACATTYTATTTAATATTAATAACATCTCAAATGTATATTAGATTATTACTAGAGTAAGAACGTTATTTTTTTTTTAATTTATTCATTTACTTCACCAAATAGGTACAACTAGGAAAATAGAAATTCCCTTAAAAACATATTTTGTTTAGTCCATGTACATGAAATAATTAAATATATTAATTTACAATTGAATTTATTTCATTTAAACATGCATAGGATTATTATATTATTATATGAAAATTGTAATTTYAAATTTCAAATCTTAAACAGTTCCAAACGAAAGAAAATAGAGCTTCAAAATTGTAACTAAATATATTCATTTTTTTATTGAATAAATACAATTGAATAAATAAATCCAGTTAAATTTGTTTCAAATGCAATTTAGTATGCGTTATTTTACTGAAACTCTGTTTAAAACAATATTAAAATACAGTGATTCGATCCCTTCTCCGATTTCTACCAAAATAAACCTGTATTATGCCAACTGTTACATATATCCTAGTTATCGAATAAAACTTCTGAACACAAATTTAAATTCGTCATGAAATTTTATTGAAAATGGCATTGCAACTTTTTTTGAAACTCAACAACTTAACTCTTCAAAATTAGATATTTAAATTTTAAATATTAATAATTTTAATAAAATGTTAATAATATCAAAATTWAAAAAATGAATTAAAAAGTGTAAGGAAGTCATTTTCAAACAGTTTATCGAAAATTAAATTATGTTTTCATAAATTTTATCGGATAAATAGGTTAGCTCATATAACTGTAAAAAAAAAACAATATAATTAATATTTGGATAGGTATAGTGTAATGAGTTATTGGCACATATTATGTGTCACTGAGTGTGCCTGCGGGAGCGCTCTGCTGTTTATTTTATACAAAGTCTCTCAYATTAATGATCACTTACTTCGCAAACATTTATACGATCCGCATGCACACACATAGAAAACTTGTTATATTGAACTTCTTAAAAACAATAGGGATCGAATATCCTTAAATTTTGATTACCTAATTATCATAATTAAATTTAATTATGAATTATTTCTAGGCTGTCAAATTTTAAAATGTTAACTGTACATTATAATAACGTATATTATTTAATATTAAATATATTATACTAAAAGACTTTTATTCCAATGTAAAATGTTCAAACCAAACCAAATTAAATTTGTTTGTATATATTATTATGTATAATTATGGTTAATACAACTTCGTCAAAATATATAACTACTGTTCAGGATCTGTGAGATAGACAAATCCGTATACATACGAGTGTATTTGATGTGCTGTGTAATGTGTGGTGTACTCACAAGGAACTATACGTAATTATATTAAACTGGGCCAGTGAGAGTACGCCAAAGGTTATTTTTGCGGTGAAAGTGAACTCTTTGATTTAATTGCACTAAAATGATCAGAATTTATCAACCTTCGGTAGCTCAGTTGGTAGAGCGGTGGACTGTAGTGGTGTACACATCATAGATATCCATAGGTCGCTGGTTCAAATCCGGCCCGAAGGAAATTTTTTTATATATATATATAAATATTTTTTTTTTTTAATTCGTAGAGTGAAAGGTCATAACGAGATAATTACAAAATATATTATACCTACCGACGAGTCAAATTTATTATTATACACAGCATAAGTACTCGTATATTTAAAAACAATATTAATACTATGTAAACTGAACCCTTTTTAGATTAGTTTTGTAAGGTCGTTATTTTAAATTTTAAAATAATATTTTACAACATTATTTCTTGCTGAGATGAACAAAAACAGGCAAATTTCTAATACCATAATACCCGGTCTCTGTACAGACTTGAATTAACTTTTAAAGATTTTTAACTGCAAAATACAAGCTACGAAAACTGTAGAGTTCACAAAGTCAAGTCATTCACTTGAAAAATAATGAAATAATTAATATATTTATGAAAATAAATAAACGTTTAAATAAAAATTTAAGCGACTATTATTCAGTTAACAATGTTATAAAAACAACACATCATAAGATTAAATAAAATAATGAAAATGTAGCATCTAACCTGTATCCAAAATGGTAAATAGAACCCAAAACTGCATAGGAATGATGCTGCTAATGATAGTGTCGCCCAACACATCCCTGCAACGGTCAATGTAGTTGCCATCTGAAAAAGTAGATTACAATTTTATATACATATACCTATTTATACAAAATGAATTACCAAGAACGCTCATCCTCATCTTTTCTTGTAATTATGAATTTATTAGAATTTGAATTTTATCGAAATTTCTCATATTTTAAAAAAAAAAAACACTAGATAAGTACTATGCAATGATACAAACTTTTACATTTCAGATGAAAACCTCCCCCCCATTTTCCCCCTATTTTTTATATAAATCATTTGGTGGATATTTTTTTAAACATTTTGATAATTCAAAATTYAAACTATTAGGTACTTACTCGGTTAATACAATGTTTAAACTAAAGATAATAAACCATAAAAATTGTTTTACAAAAATGTAATGTAGATATAATATTGGATCTAGTGTTTATATTACTTGGATCATATTTACGATTCATAAATGTTGATAGATTAATATTAATTTAAACTTTTAAAATTACCGTAAACCCCATAATATCTTCCAAACCCATTACCACGGACCTATATAAATTATCCTTAGTACACAAAGTTAAATAACTAAAAAACTACTCGTTTAAATTTCGATTCTGAGTATTATCAGACTTCTGAAATATTATCCACAAAACAAATTTGCAGTTGAAAAAATGGGTGGATGGGAGTTCTCATTTAAAAAAGAGGTTTTTCACCAACGGGACACTCGTTAAGTAAGAGTACAAAAAACTCATTCAAAAATCATTTTTAATCACTGCATTATTGAAGAAGAAGAAGAGAATGAGTATACATGATGAATCATCCAATATATATAAACTGGGTTAAATAAAAGTAATTGTGGTAATTCCGTTCTTGGTATATCGCCATTTTACTTAGAACATAATATTAAAATATTATTATATTTTATAATATACAAAATAAATTGAACAATTTAAACTACGCATTGTTCGGTGAACATTTATACTATACTTTGAAATTATGTACATAACACAATACATATAATTTAGTATTTATATAATACATTTCAAATGTAAATAATTATAACAACCATTCTTTAATTGAACCAAATTAGTTATTGTTATCTTATATAAATTTGTACATATAAATAAGCAAATGCTCATAAATAAAATACGAATTATATGTTTGCTCGTCTACTAATATGAAATAWAAATATGTAAAATACACATAAACAAAGATGCGAGATCATAATTCTTTGTCAAGGTTTATTGTTCCGCTAATAATTTTAATTTTATATTATTATTTGGCATAAAAAGAAAACTACAAGTCAATATCCATCATAATTTTGCATTAATTAAGTGGCAAGAGTATATTTTATTTTTAAAATTACGAATAGTTGTTTCATAAAATTTAAATAATGTATACCTATCTTTACAGCMAAAGYGACACTCGAGTATTCTTTTATAAGATACATTATTATATTTTTTAGGAGAATTATATTTATTTGATATAATATAATGTTATGTATAACGTAGGTAGGTACATTAATCAAAAAAATATAAAGTTGATTTTATAAATATGAGTAAGAGCAAAATCGAGCTGAAACTAAAAACAACGAAGCGTGAAATATGATTAACAAATTTAAAAGTTAAAAATACAAAAGCATTTTCGTAAGGCTAAGTAGTTATGTAGGATATTACAAAATGTATGTAATGTAATGTTTGACTTATTTCAAAATTAATATTATTTTATCTTTTCTCTTAATTTTACTCCATACAAGAATATTCTCAAAAGTTTATCATTTATACAGATCATTTTTTTAAATATAATTATTATTATTTTTGGAATTTTTACGTTCACATTAAATTCATAACTAAACTAAGGAATTATATTGTTATACCCTTTTAAAATTGTCTTCTCCGGTGATACTTAAAAATATATTATCAATACTAATGAAAACTGATAAAAAATTATTAAATCAGTGTATGRAATGACTAGGATGATCAAATAATATAGTTTAAACTATATTAGGTATGTTAAAATAGGCTATAAATAAATTTGCTGTTTATAAAAATGATGGAAACAGTTTTATCGATATCGTACAAATATTATCTATTTTAATGTAACTCTAGAATTTTAGATAAATGTATCTTTTATTAAAGCTACAATTTAAACCATTGACTTTGAAATTATKTAATTCATAACTGACTAACTATGTGCACATTTTTGACGTTAATAAAAAGCTAATAAAAAGTTGAAAAGATAATAATATGGGAATTATGATGATTTTAAAACTATGTTGATATTTTATATAAATCATATTTTTTTATTATTATAAGTTTTCTGAGTTTAATAAGTAATATACTAAATATTAAACAACCCATTTATCTTATATTTTATGTAAAACTAATTTTTAAGCACTATAATTATTGTTGGTGCACAATGTTTAAAATCTCAGAAAACTACTCATTTGAATTTCAATTTAGATCTAGAAACAATTTTATGTAATGTATCTGCTTCACAATAATTCGCATTCATATTTTAATTTATCGTTAAAAAAAATATATTTTAATAACTAAAAGACATTCTTTAAAATATGTTATAAAATATTTAATTATCTGAGATATGRCTCTTAAACTAAGACACACAGATAATGACAATTAATGACAATTTTCCTTAATTTCTGTACTGTTATGGTTGTGTAGCGTTCAAGGTAAAAGGTCATAATAATATATCAATRTCCTTATGATTTATGAAAAAAATAGTATACATATTATMAATATTCAATTTTCGAATATTTTATCCTATAAAATGTTTATCATTATAATTAATAWHTAHATCACGAACAGCGAATAAGACAAGTTCTTGATAGTATTTCTTTGGCCACGTTTCAATGTGTTCACTGTTATGAAACCAATAAGCCAAGTGAGTTTAAAGTTATTTTAATTGTTGAATATTGTATTAGTATTTTTATTTAAATTATTTAAAAAAATCTTAATATCTTGAAAATAATATCTCGGGTATTCGTGATGTAGAAACTAAAATTGTTTGCCCCACTTCCTTAAACGATTCCTATACTTATACTTGTATATACCTACTTGAAATTTCTAAAAAAAAATGATAAGCATGAATATAATTAAAATATCACTCGAGCAGCCATTATTTTAAAAGGACAAAATATGTACTTTGGATTTTATTGAAAAACAAAAAAGTTGGATTAGATCATATATTATTAATATCCGGRACTGTTGGATGGTAGGCAATATTTTATTGACAAGTCAAATTGTCGAACATCGTATTCGTATCTTTTCTTTTTGTAATCCTCCGCGTCTTACATTTCATATCATTAAAAGTTTACGTCGTAAACAAACTCCTTTAAAACCAATAGCGCTCATGGACACGCGCTCAAACCTAGATGSGTATTACTATTATATATGTATATAGGTTAAGTTACGTTATATATTATTTATATATATATATATACACCTATACATAAATAGTGTAATGCAAGTGGTGATCATACCACTCTAGAAGCTAAACTTTTTCGGTAAATCAGTCAGAAACAGTAATTTTTCTGTAGAGTGGAAAGGCCAAAGTACATTTGATATAGTTACATACAAGAAAACTTGAAGTAAAGCCAGTTTTATTAAACACAAAGTGATTGTCAGTCTGTAAGAAATAAATGAAATACGCTTTAAGCTTAACTTTATTTAATATGCAGTTCAATGAAATAACAAAATAATTGATATTCGTTTGTTTACGAAATATTTAATTATAAATACACATTGGATAAATTAAAAACATGTGATATTAAATTATATTATTAAATTAAAATATAAGTAAATTTTTGTAAGCGTTTTTCACTTGGTTGTCCAATTACAATATTAATGAAGCATTTGTGTCTTTTTGAGGAAAATAAATTGAGATAAGGTTACATTAGAACAGAAGCATATTATGACGGGCTACAAATGTGTGGGGTAGGGGGAGCAAGGGTTCTGAAAAAGGACAAAATTAWTTTTTTCTATTATGATTATTTACGGTTTAGAGCAAGAAAATTGTAGTTTGAGCATTCTTTGAATTTGAATGTAATTCAAATTCAATAATAAAACCTACGCATGATTAGATGAACTTAGCTAGGCAGCTTATTTTATCTTTGGCACAATGATTTCTAAGGTTATTTTATATTTCCAAAAGTCTTGACACAGTGAAAAGTATGATGATTAGTAATTATTGATTACCTGCAGAAGTCAGAAGTGTGTCATTGTTATACTGACAGATGTCTAAGTGTGAAGAATCACTCTTGGTTTAATAATATCATAGGTATTTCATATTTAAATGCAATTTACAGTATTGTGTTTTTGAATTATGTTTGCAGATATTGCCATACTATTTATAATATGGGTTGGCGATTTGCTCTTTGAGACTTGGTTGTTCGTGTTCAACGGATATATTTTTACTAAATTTATCGAATACATTTGCATTATCCTCATTAGTCTCCAATATGGAATAAGTGAGAAAAATTTCTGGCAAAATACGTTTGGATTTGGTGATTTGGCGACGCTGGGAAGCCAACTAATAATATTAGAATGCACTATTATTGTTGTTACGACGAGGCTTTATTACTCATATTGAATACAGTAAGTACAATGGATGATATCATGATGATATTATATTGTATTTAGTTAAAACTAATTTTGTGTCCGAATATGGGTTCGGGTGAACCTATCAGACAGACGTGTCGTCCGTGTAATGGGCCAACGCATCGATCTGGTTAAATAATAAAATAATTGTAAATCACATTGTATGATAATCCTATTATTAAAACAAAGGCTGTACAGATATAGTAATATTATGTATAGAATTGGTTGTATAAAATATTGGTTCATAGATTATAAAGGACCATCAATATTTTAGCTTTTAGGTGTGTTCCCTATAAAATATATAAAATAGCCTATTTATTATTTTTTTTTTTTATCCTAGTTTAGCTTTATTATATCACTATTAACTAAACGTCTAATGATTTAAGCCCTATGGATTTTTATGTTCAAGTATTATCAATGATAGAGTATAGTAAT